TCATATCGTCAAGAAATTAACGTGACAGAAGATTTTAATGTTACGGTTGTTGACAAAAATCCGATCTTCAACTGAATAATAAATAATCTATATACTTAAATTACGAGTTGTACAACTAAATTATTTTATTTTTATGGAAGATTTTGGTTTGTGCAGTTATTTGTGGTAGTAGTATGAAAATTTTTTTTACTGACGAGGCGAAGAAGGTAGCATCGTTCAATACTACTATGAGAGAGCTTTTCAGAAGATGGGAATTAATATAAAACAAAATCAATGATGATAGTAATAATGGATTTAAATCCTTGGCCGACTGTGAAGTATAATAAGGGTAATATTTATTTAAAAGGTTTAAAGGTTTAAATATTTAACCTTCGTTCCTTACATTCCCACGTTAAAGTTATATATATAATTGATCATATAATATATTTATAAATTTATCAATAATTACGATGGCGAAGAAGGCCTACAACACCTTGTGCCACCAAATTACTTTCCATATAAGGAATCTTCTTCATAATTTTAATATAATAACAGAGAGAAAGAGAATTGGTTATATTTTGCGAGAATTAATCAATAGATCTTCGATCAAAATCGGCATCATTATTATTTACTTAAATCAACTTGATTAATTACAGGTTTTTTAACTTTACTTTTCTTTTTTTTCAAATTAATGTATATGTATGTATGTTCGTATGTGCGTGAGTGCGTAAGCACGTATTTATGTATATAAGCGCACACACAATGATAACAATGAATTTATTTAATCATTCATTTGCCTAATTCTTATAATTGAAAAAAATAAAACTTGATTTTTAATTAAAAATCATCTGCTGTTGTTATTATTATTTTTCGAACAATAGGTATCGCTATTTGGATTGTTAAATGTTGTATTAATTAAGTGAATTGAATTAGAATTTGAATTTCATGTTTGCTAATGGTATTTATTATTAATATTTAATGAAATTTGATTTTCTCTGCACACAAGTCTATCTGGTATGCATAGACTAAACTCTTTTTTATATTTATAAAATGTATATTTTTTTTATTTGTTTATTTACTAACCAAATTTGTATTAATTTTTTTTGGAAAAAAAAGGTTTTGACATTTTTACAACTGTCTATTTATAGTCATGGATTAGAAATCTTTTAGAGAAAAAAATTTTTTATTAGACGCACATAACATCATTATGTACTAATACGCATATAGAGAGAAAAAAAATATTAATTTTTATTTATTATTTATTTATTTAAAGATCTGCTGTCAATCTTTTTTTGTATAAAATAGGAAATTGGTGGGGTGAAAAGGAAAAAATCATTCAATGAATAAAAAAATAATGAATGAATGGATGAATGATAATAGGAATTATTCGTGAAGATGACAATATTAAAAAAAAAAGGAATTATTACAGTGTGATCCAATAATATAGGGAGGGACAGAAGATTATGTAAATGCGTGATAAATAAATAAATGATTTTTTAAAGTTTGTGACAATATGATATTGTAACATGATTTAATGCAGAAAAAAATTTTTTCTGTTGAAAAAGAAAGCTTACGATGATAAAAAAAATAAATAAACAAGCGGTATTATTAATTGTTTGGTCAAGTGTCCTTCCATAATTGGATCTCGGAAGAATTTTATTGGTTTGTGAACCCGTAAAAATTTGTAATTCAAAAAGGACAAAGAACATTGGCTAATAATTAATTGGCTTGTGGAATTAATCGTTAGTAAAGTTAGTTTATTTAGTTAGCGGGTATAATTAAATTTACTAAATATATAAATATAATAATAAGTCTTACGGATTCTAACTGTCGACAGTTACAACGACAATAAATCTCGAACTTTTTTTCCCGTTTAGTAAAAGAATTAAAAATTATTTCCTATTTTAGATGTCACTTTAACAATTCATGTTGAAATGAATTAAAAATTCCAAAAAAAAATTTTTCATTTAAAAGTAATTTGCGTAAATACTGACACACGAGCACACGCACACACAATAAGTTTTTAGTAAAATTAAAATTATTTTTTCTTTCCTCTGCAGTTTCTAATCCAATGTTTGATCAGCTTCAATTTTTAATGTTTACCCCACCTGACCTCACGATACTAAAGGTTCTTTCTTAATCGAGAATAATAAAAACATCAATTATTAATTATTAAACATGTAAAAGATTTTATTTTCATTTATTTCAGATCAACTTAAAAAAATGGGGTTTTTGTTGATATAATTTGTCGTCTTTCTCCACCAGATATCACCTGTCGTTCACATGTCCTATATAGTTGATATTTGTTTTGCTACTGTGTTAACCTAGCTAGCATTCATTCATTCATTCATTCATTTCATTCGTTTAAATATTCAATAGATCGATAGATAGATATATACTGTATATAATATATAAATGACGCAGTGAATTGAAATTGCCATTAATGGTATAAATAATGGTATAAAAAAAATATATAAAAAAAAGCTAATGTTTTAAAAAAGTGCGGGTATTACCGTATGTTTTAATATTGGTTTTTTAAAAAAGAGACAGGTTGCAGTCAGGTCAACACAATAATATTAATAATTAATGACGACAATATCATGATGAATGTGTTTAGGTGAAATGAAAAATCAAGATGAATACAACAAAAACAAAGAGATAACCAACCATCACGTAATTTGATTATTAATCCAATATAATCATGCCCCTCCCCCCTCTTTTCCTCCCTATATCTATTTCACATCCCTAGAATTCCCTCCCTTAACCCTAAAAATTAAAAAATTAAAATTAATTAAAAAAAATTAAAATTAAAATTAATTAAAAAAAATTAAAATTAAAATTAAGAGAAATGAAACAAAATTAAAAAAAAAAATAATAAATAATAATAAAAATTAAAATTAAAAATTAAAATTAACATTAAAATAATATTTTAGTGAATGTAAATTACGTCGTCTATATGTATGTATGAATGAATAAATGGTGTGATTGAAATGTGATTATTATTATAAATAAATAGAGAATTTGTGCAGGAATTTTTTATTTTTTGGAAGATCATATTATCATATTTGGTAAGATTCGTTCTTTCGGATATTTTAAAACTAATACGTACATAATAATATTTATTATCAAATTTAAACT